TGCGTGTTCGATTATTCAGTAGGTCGGTCCATGCTTCGATTCAAGTATTCTGATGATGGTAAGTTTTAAAGGACGCAGCTGATTATATGCGTTAGCTTGTAAAAATAGCCTCACAATATTATTATACACTTTGCAGTTTAGTATGGAAATAATATCCAGTAGGTCACAACATGCTGGGGGAAATGGTTAAAAGGTTGTGCAAAGACGCTGGAATCGATTAGGTCAATTTACAAACAATAGCCTACGTGCGAAAGCGTTGGTCTTGAAATAGTTTGAATTTGACAAAGGTAGTAGTCAGTTTGAGCCAGTCAGTCGAATTAACTAAAAACGCGCGCGCTGTCAAAACTTTCTGTCGTAGTTATGTTTTTCGTGTATATTGTTAATAAGTAATCACATGATTTTTCTCTTACACTTTGAAATAAAAAAGCACTTGTAAATTTTTCAAAGACCGCAAAGTGCACTCGCCCTACGGGCTCGTGCACTTTTGTTGGTCTTCGAAAAATTTACTCGTGCTTATTTATTCCAAATTGCACTCGAAAACATGTGATTACCTATACAAACACGACGCTACAATGTTTGAAATTAAACTGAACTGTGTTTCTTTTGCGCAACATTCGCGGATTTTCTTAGTTGGAAGTTCATCGCTTTTCCACAACCAGAACGACAGAGCCAAATTTCACAGCGTCTTTGAAATTCCACTGTTCGCAGCTCCCACGAAAGTGGCCCTGTTATTTATTGGTAAGGCGTTTTGTTGTTTACCCAGTCATCCCAAACTCGTGTACTCCATGTAGTTGACCTTTTTGTGTTTTGTAGTATCTGTTGCTTCATTCCTCGCATGAATTTCCTTGTCAGTTGCAGTAGTGATTCCTCGCCGGTTCTTTAGCTGCGAAAATTTAAATTGTCAACTGCTTTCTCGTTGTCTGCACACGGAAATAAAGATTAAATATTCAAAATTGTTTCCTGAAAGCTCAATTGCAGTACCGCCACTCAAACTGCTTTAATTGATAGACAGTTCTCACTCTGAATCGATCGACATTGTTAGGCTGTTTTTAGCATTTACTACCAACAACTAATTCGAAACTGAATATAACTTTGGAAAACTTAATTAGTAGGTTAAAAACCCGAGAACCTTGTTAATGCCACCAGTGCCAGCAGCATGGAATGTTAGAAAACCCAATAAATGAGAACAATAGAGGCATTTTTCTTCAGTGTATCTTTGTATCCCTTGAGGAATCCTCACAATGTAAAAATTAACCGTTTATCGGCCTTCAGCTCGGGGTTAGTATAAGAGATAAATACCGAGAACGGAGGTATTAATCTACATACACCATGTATATGGACTAATACCGATCGACGTTCGAGGTATTTATGTGACCTATTTCACGATATTATTCCTACAACATTTCTGCATGTAAAATGGAAAACACATGTGTCTGTCTTAATATTACAAAAAATTGAACTGAATTTTCGGTCCCTGTTTTACCATGATTCAATAATTAAGACCTTTTGTTAAGGAGAACAAAGCACTAGCCACGTGCACGCCCACACCTCTATCGCATAAAACAAAAATGAAGGTGACAAAATTGTGAGAGTTTGACAAGGTTTTGAGAAATGTTTTGTGGCGTCCTCAAGGGTGTGTTTGCTTTCTATTTTTTGGCCGTTTCTTTGATCAGTTGTTTTGACCATTTTATCGGCGTGTTCGATTATTCAGTAGGTCGGTCCATGCTTCGATTCAAGTATTCTGATGATGGTAAGTTTTAAAGGAAACAGCATATTATATGCGTTAGCTTGTAAAAATAGCCTCACAATATTTTTATACAGTTTGCAGTTCAGTATGGAAATAATGTCCAGTAGGTCACGACATGCTGGGGGAAGCGGTTAAAAGTTTGTGCAAAAGACGCTGGAATTGATTAGTTCAATTTACAAATAATAGGCTACGTGCGACAACAGCGACCCGGGGACTGTAGAAAGGAATTCCAGAAAAATTTGTAATAGAGCGTGTCAGGCATTGATATGTTAGGTCTTTGCAAGAATATTAACGCCTAGATACTTCAAGTCAGATTGAGATTTCAAAGAAGTTCAACTGTTGTGCAGCCGTGTCACTACCCGAGTGAGTTACTTCTGAACGGGTGTCAATAAAACGTGAAGTCGAGGTAGACGAGGAAGAAGTGAAAGACCGTTCAAAATTTCTGAAGGGAAGCTGGAACGTCTGCTACTTTTAATTATATATTGTACTTTCATAGTCTCAAAAGACTTTAATTTGTAACACGTGGGAACAATTTTTCGTAAATAATCGATTATTTTCGTGGATGTTTTGAAAAATAAATTTGTTCATTTTTTTACGGCTTTGTCGGAGAAATAATAAGTTTAAATTGGTCTAGAGGACGAATTTTATGTTGTCAGAAACAGCAAAGGTGAATTGCAATTAATTGCAACATAACTTTTATGAGAATCAATTGCCATTAATTTTTCTTCGTTTTGGGGTTTGTTTGTATAAAAT